AGGTCCTCCAGGCTGGCGTCCAGGGCCTCGACCTCGGGCCGCGGCCCGGCTCCCGGCAACAGGCAGGCGGCGCAGCCCGCGGCGGCGCGACGCAGCAGCGGCAGATCGCGGCCCGGCGCGCCCAGCTCTGAGCCCTCGTCCTCCCACGGCCCCGACGCGCTGCTGTGGCTCTGGGACACGTTGCCGCTGTCCCCGCTCCAGGCAGCTCCCTGGAGCTCGGCCTCCTCCTCCGCCGACCCCTCGCGCGGCGGCCCATCACCCGCGGGACGATCCTCCATGGCCCGCTACGGCCGGGCGGCCCGCCCCGCTTCCGGCTTCCCAGTTCGGCTTCCGGCCCCTCCGCACGCACGCGGGCGCGGGCGCGCCCCAGCCTCCGGCCTCCGCGCGCTCACGTACACGCACGCGCGCCAATCTGTTTCCAGCCCCTGGACGCTCGTGCGCGCGCACGTGCTCGCAGAACCCTTTTTTAAAATGTGAAGGTGTAACAGAACTAGGGTAAGACGCGTACGTCCTCAGTGTATCTTCTGCGTGTTCACACAATCATGTAACCTCCATCCACATCAAGATATAGAACATGTCAAGGACCCGTGAGGAGCTTCCCACTGTCCCTAGTTTCTTTTTGCTACTTATATTGAAATGAAAGAGAAGAGAAATAAACAAAAGGAAGGTCCCTTAACCTTGCTATTCTTTTTTTTAAAATATTTTATTTATTTATTTGATAGAGAGAGAATGAGAGATAGCACAAGAGGGAAGAGGGTCAGATGGAGAAGCAGACTCCCCGCCAAGCAGGGAGCCCGATGCGGGACTCGATCCCGGGACTCCAAGATCATGACCTGAGCCGAAGGCAGTCGCTTAACCAACTGAGCCACCCAGGCGCCCCAACCTTGCTATTCTTGATGACTTGGAATGTTCTCAGCTTTTTTCCACACTTCCCCCAACACTTGGTATTGTCAATATTTTCATTTTTAGCCATTCTTGTGGATGTATAGTGAGTGCTATCTGTGTGGTTTTAATTGGCATTCCCCTGTTGAATCTTTTTTTTTTAAGATTTTATTTATTTGAGAGAGAGAGAGAGAGAGAGAGAGCACATGAGAGGAGGGAGGGTCAGAGGGAGAAGCAGACTCCCCGCTGAGCAGGGAGCCCGATGCGGGACTCGATCCGGAGACTCCAGGATCATGACCTGAGCCGAAGGCAGTCGCTTAACCAACTGAGCCACCCAGGCGCCCTCCCCTGTTGAATCTTGAACTTTAGCACCTTTTTATATACTTTTTGGCCATGTGGATATTCCATTTTGTGAAGTGCTGGCTCAAGTCTTGCCCACCTTTTTTTTTTTTTTTTTTTAAGATTTTATTCATTTATTTGACAGAGAGAGACACAGCGAGAGAGGGAACACAAGCAGGGGGAGTGGGAGAGGGAGAAGCAGGCCTCCTGCTGAGCAGGGAGCCTGATGTGGGGCTCGATCCCAGGACCCTGGGGCCACGACCTGAGCCAAAGGCAGATGCTTGACCACTGAGCCGCCCAGGCGCCCAAGTCTTGCCCACTTTTAAATTGAGTTATTTGTCTTTTCCTTATTGATCTATAGAAGTTCTCAATACAGTTTGAATATAAGTTCTTTGTCATATATCTTCCTTTAATAAGTTCCAATTCATCAAACCAGGAAGGTTTGGAGAGTGAAAGGGGACACTCAGGACACACGATATAAAATATTTTCTAAAATTTTTTGTGCTGTATGATCTTTAATTAATTATAAAGTCTTCCAGTCACCTCACCTAGGGACCATTTTACCCGCTGCTCTGTTTGGCCGCCAATCTCTTGTCCCTCTCTCCAGCAATGGTGAGGTGGATACCCTTTCCACGGGGAAGAGAAATCCATGGTTTGTTGCCTTTGCCAATAACAAAAATGTTGGAGAGTTGGGTGGCAGAGCTGTTGCCCTTGGCATCTTTCACGTGAACGACATCAAAAGAACCAGGGTGTCTCTCTCTCTGTTGGTGATCACACCAATTCTTCCCAGGTTAGCACCTCCGGTCACCATACACAGATTGCCCGTGTCAAACTTGATGAAATCAGTGATGTCTCCAGTCTCCAAATCAATCTGGATGGTGTTATTCACCTTAATGAGGGGATCAGGGTAGCAGATGGTGTGAGCATCTTGAGTCACCAAACGAGGGATTCCTTTTGTCCCCACAAAGGTCTTTCTCACTTTGTACAACTTATACTTGGCCTTCTCAGGTGTAATCCGATGAACAGCAAAGCGACCTTTGGTGTCATAGATCAGACAGAAATTCTCCCCAGTCTTGTCAATGATGATGACATCCATAAAACCAGCGGGGTAGGTTATATCAGTTCAGACCTTGCCACCAATCTTTTTTTTTTTTTTTTTTAAGATTTTCTTTCTTTCTTTATTTGACACAGAGAGAGGGAGAGAGACAGCGTGAGAGGGAACACAAGCAGGGGGAGTGGGAGAGGGAGAGGCAGGCTTCCCGTGGAGCAGGGAGCCCGATGCGGGGCTTGATCCCAGGACCCCGGGATCGTGACCTGAGCCGAAGGCAGACGCTTAACGACTGAGCCACCCAGGCACCCCTCTTGCCATCAATCTTAATAAAATGCTGCATACAGATCTTTTTTTTTTTAAGATTTTTATTTATTTATTTGAGAGAGAGAGAACGAGAGATAGCACGAGAGGGAAGAGGGTTAGAGGGAGAAGCAGACTCCCTGCCAAGCAGGGAGCCCGATATGGGACTCGATCCCGGGACTCCAGGATCATGACCTGAGCCGAAGGCAGTCGCTTAACCAACTGAGCCACCCAGGCGCCCCAGATCTTATTTACTTCATCTCCTGTTAGGACATACTTAAGTCTGTTCCTTAGGAAGATGATTGAAAGCAGACATTCTCTCAGCTTATGGGGACCAGCAGATGGGTGAGGAGCAAACACACCGATCAGTTTATCCAGTATCCAATACTACATGCTTCAGATGCTCTTGGAACCACGGGCCATGGCTGCACTAGGCATGAAAAGAGCAAGATATAAAATCTTGGGCAAACCATATCATATAATTATTAGGAACTACAAAGATCATGAGATGATCATTAGGGATCATATGTCCAATGCCCAGCCTGGAGCAACAGGTGGAAATTGACACTCAGAGATATGTGTTCGGGTTAACCAACTTGTCCAAGGTCACAGAACAAGAAACTGGAGGGACTAGGAGGACCCAATGCAGGATGTTTCTGACTCTAAAAGCTTTGACATCAAATAACCTCTGTTCACTGTCATAATAATTATAACACTATCACCACTTATATCTGCGGGTGCTTTGGTATTTGCAAAACACTTTCCTGCACATCATCTCACATATGCATCGTCCCATTGACGGATATTCAGCCTGGGATCACCGGTCTTTACTTACGAGACTGGAACACTAAAGCTCTAATCTGTGGCCCTGTTGCAAGCAGTATCCCTCCAAAGTACGGTTAGTGGGACACTGGCTGAACAAGACTGGAAAGAGGCTCCATCCATTCCACAGTGGCATACTCTCAGTGCGCAAACATTTTTTGTTAAATGAATATTAAAGCAGCATTTTACTGGGCCCCTGCTGTTTTGCAGGTCCTGTAGGTGCTAAGGACCGAGACCAGAACCCGTCCTCAAGGAGCCTCTAGTAGGCAGAGGCACTTATATTTTAGGAAAGGAGGCCTTCTCTCTAAAACATTCCCTAAGGCCCTACTTGTGTCCAGGCTGCCAGGAGAGGCTAAGGACAGAGCCAAATCAGAAGTGGCCCTTCATCTTGGGTTGCTTATAGCCTGGTGAAGATGATGCAGGCAGGTTGGGTCTGAGGACCCTGAGGGGGGGGCCCTGTAGGACCAACTCTGCACAGGACAGAAATCAAATGCGAGCCAGAGAAAGTAAAAACAGAGTTTATTGAATAGTGTGAATGACAGAGTTTAGCAGACTGAGTGTCTGGGAGACTCAGAAAGGAAAGGAGAATGAGTCTCTTCCTTGCTTGGGGCTAGGGGTTTATATTGGAAAGGGATGTAGGGTACGTGTTCCTTCAGGAATCCAGAGTAGGGTCCGCTCAAAGGTGAGTGGCAGGTGAATAATAGGTGTGATTCTATAAATCATCGAAGGTAGGGGTTATTGATGCCAGCGTCAGCTTAAGTTTGTTCAAAGCTAATGTCCTGGAAACATGTTTGGGATCTGGCTCTTCTTGGATGTTATCAGGTGTTTGGGGGCCTAAGACAAAAATTCAGAGAATGACTAACTTTCTTGTTTCCCTTTGAAGTGGGAACATAGCTTCTTTGGTTTATTCAGATGCAAAATATAGAACATGAGTAAGTGTGGTCTAGTAGAGAAAGAAGAGAGACAGGGCCTTTCTGAAATGGAGTACCTTCAGCTCCCCTACCTCGAAGAGAGGCCAAAACCTACTGACCAGAACAATCCGGCAGCGGGAGAAAAATACCCCCAGGACAAAAATCTGGGAGCAAGGGGTGGGGAGTACAGAGAAAAGGCCAGTTAGGATTCCGGGTTTTTGACTTAAGGGCCCTGTCCCAGAAGAGGGAGCATGTGCTCTAGTTGAGAGCAGCGACTGTAGACCCAAATGGCTCAGGTTCAAATTCTGACCCTAAGCACGGTTTTTAGCCAGTTTTTCATCTAACAGGTTTGCTCTGAGGTTAAATGAATTAATCTAAGCACTTAGAGCAGTGCGTGCCTGGATAGTAAGTGCTGTAAACATCAGCCTGTGTTATTCAAATACTAGGGAGGGAAAATTGCTTTCACTTAAAAAAAAATAAAGAAAAAGTAAAAGTAAAAGCCGGGGGATGCCCTCGCGGAGGAGGTAAGCAAGGCGCTGCCAAAGCGCTCCCAAGGCCTAATTAGAGAAGGGGGCGGGGCAGGGGGCGGGAAGCGGGGGGGGGGGGCGCGCGCGCCCGGGACAGAGTCCCGTCTGCGTGCGCGCACCCGCCACCAGGCTTGTCCCAGGCACGGCCGTAAGGGGGCCGGGCCACGTCGTGAAAGTGCCGCCAACACGCCCGCAGCTAGTGATGGCTGCAGGTATCCGTGGTTGGCCCGGCCGCGGTGTGCGTTCAGGGCGTGGCTGTCCGTAGCGGTTCTGAAGCGGACGGCGTAAAAGGAGGAACACTGAGGGATAATTCGGGAGCACTGCTGTTGCGCGGCTGCCCGCAGTAACGGCTTAGCCGTCCCCAGGGGTGCGGGCATGAAGAAGTGGCAGGACAGATGCGGCCCTGGGACATCGTCGAGCTGGCGGAGCCGGAGGAGGATTTCGAGCAGTTCCTGCTCCCGGTCATCAACGAGATGCGGGAGGACATCGCGGCCCTCACCCGGGAGCACGGGAGAGCCTACATGCGGAACAGGAGCAAGCTGTGGGAGATGGACAATATGCTCCTCCAAATAAAAACGCAGGTGGAGGCGTCGGAGGAGAGCGCCCTGAACCATCTGCAGAACCCCAACGACGGAGTGGAGGGCAGAGCGGCCAAGAGGTGCGAGAAGGCCGAGGAGAAGGCCAAGGAGATCGCGAAGATGGCAGAGATGCTGGTGGAGCTGGTGCGGCGGATAGAGAGAAGCGAGTCGTCCTGAAGGAGCGCGGGCGGTAAGGCGGGAGGCCGGCGGGGCCGGGTGCGGGGCCGGGTGCGGGCCGGGTGCGGGGCCGGGTGCGGGGCCGGGTGCGGGGCCGGGTGCGGGCCGGGTGCGGGCCGGGTGCGGGGCCGGGTGCGGGGCCGGGTCGTCAACATCGCCGATTTCAGTAGCTTCCCGGGTGGTCGTCCTGTCGTAGGAGTGAAGGTGAAGCCTCGGTCTCACTGCGTCAGAAGTGGGGCAGTGGGAGCAAAGCTGAGGTTGAGAGGAAAGTGAGTGCGTGCTGGCCTGGATAGGTGATAGTAGATCCTCCCGCCCCCGCCGGTCATTAGAGAAAAATTAGAATAACTCGGTTTGTCTTTGTGAAACCGAAAATTCACCTCCAAAGGGACAGTTGCTGGAGGTAGAGCCGCCGAGGCACCAAGGAGGGTGGTGGCGGGGGACCAAAGGAAACTTAGCCATAGAGCAAAATAGGGGAGGGGGAGAACACAGGAAAAGAAACAGAGAAGTGTGAAGCTGTAGGCCTTGCCTAGAAATGTCCAGGTTCTTCTAGAAGGCAGACGTGTCAGAGGACTCTGTCTGAAAGAAGTGGCATTCTTTTTTTTTTATTAACTTATTTTTTAAAAAGATTTTTGTTTATTTATTTGACACAGAGAGACACAGCGAGAGAGGGAACACAAGCAGGGGGAGTGGGAGAGGGAGAAGCAGGCTTCCTGCGGAGCAGGGAGCTCGATGCCAGGCTTGATCCCAGGACCCTGGGACCATGACCTGAGCCAAAGGCAGAGGCTTAACGACTGAGCCACCGAGGTACCCCAAGAAGTGGCATTCCTGTGGATGGTTAATTCTTTTTTTTTTTTTAAATACCAGGATGCAGAAATCTGAGACTCAGTGTCTTGACGGTAAATTTCTTCCAGTTGTGCCTTAGGTTCACAGCTGATGGACTCTGGTCACCTGGGCTGACACCTCGAGAAAGCTGAAATAGCTTGTTGTTTATTCTGTTTTTGTATGTTTTTTATCTGCATGTGACAGCCTCCCTTAGGGTCAGTGGTTGTATAAAGGAGCCAAACGAGAATTCGTCCCTCGGATGCGCAGCAAGCCAGTAAAAGACTGACATGGAGGTTTTGCAGTGAAGAGAGGTAGGCTGTTCTTGGTGTGGCACCACTCAGGAGAATGGGGAGCTAATGCTCCAAGTCCCAAACTGCCCGATGGCTTTCAGGTGAGGGTTTTTAAGGGCAAAATTTGGGGCGGGGGTCTCCTCAGAAGCTGGACGCCCTTGATGGATTAGAGGTGGAGTTGTGTTCACAGGTGTTACTTAGTTATTCGGTCCCATGGAGGGTCTGTCTTTTCGATCTTAAGAGATTTGGAATCTGAAAAATGTCTTTTTTTTTTAAGATTTTATTTATTTATTTGTCAGAGAGAGAGAGAGCTCGTAGGCACTAGAGCACACAAACAAACACAAGCAGGGGGACCCGCAGACAGAGGGAGAAGCAGGCTCCCCGCTGTACAAGGAGCCTGATGCGGGGCTGAAGTGAGGCTGATGTGGGGCTCTATCCCAGGACCCTGGGATCATGACCTGAGCCAAAGGCAGATGCTTAACCGACTGAGCCACCCGGGCGTTCCCAAAATGTCTTTCTTATGTTAGAGATTTCCTTAGGTACATCTGGTGATTCTTTGGTCAGGATAGTGTCGTTCAGCAGCTGGTACGTGCCTAAAGGAGCTACTTCTCTGCGCGTAAACTAGTGGGATTGCATCCTTCACGTTCCTTTGAATGATCCGCAAGCATTCCGGGCTCTTGGGTCTGGGTCTGCGTGTTTCCTTGCCAGTCCAGCTGTGCCTGGGGACGCTAAGACCTCTAGTGTTTGTCTTTTCATCTGAATTAACAAGGTGGATACTGGCTTCAGCTGGTGACCCTGACATGGGTTTAGATTGTCCAGTGTATTTGGTTCCTGAGAAATAACTATTGCATGAGAAATACTCTCATAAGGGAAATGGGGCTTAATGAAGAGTGGTTTCAGCGCTCAGGTTTATTGTTGTTACTTTGCTGTGTTTGGAATGTTGGAGTGGCCTTGTGTTTTGCTGTTACCCATGTGACCTGATTGTTCTCTGGACCTTCAGAACGTGTGTAGACTTGGGGCCAGAGTCTTCTGTCTGTGGAGATGCATGGAAGGCACTGCTTGGGTGAAGCTGGTGACTGGCGTAGGGGTGAGACTGCTTTGGGAAGCACTAGGAAGAACTAGAAGGCACTTGGAGATGGAAGATGGTTAGGTGTATATTCTGGAACTTTGATTCCTGTGAGACGCAGGAGGAGACCTGTGTCTTGTGGCATAGTGTCTGGTGTATGTGGTGTCACCTGTCCAGTGAGTTTATTGAGACAACCTCGCTGGCCCCAAATGACAAAGAAGTTTGGATAGGGAATGATGGGAGTATGCTTCGCTGTCGGAATGCCCTCACACGTTACAGGGGTTTCAGAGGATTGCATCAAAGAGACAATCTACAAGGAGCCTGGGGACGCTGGAGAAAGGAAAAGGCATCATCAGGGCCCATAAAGTCCTTTCTAGTCTATCAGAGTAGACCTGACGGGTATTTGAGGTCAAAGTCAGACATGTGATAAATAAGTGTTTATTTACCTCGAAAAACAAAGATCTATAGAAAACCTTTTTTCAAGATGTTCAGATGACCAAAGCCCCTGTGTGTGTGTTGTTATTTTTTTTTTTAAGATTTTATTTATTTTTGTTTATTTATTTGACAGAGAGAGACACAGTGAGAGAGGGAACACAAGCAGGGGGAGTGGGAGAGGGAGAAGCAGGCTTCCCGCCGAGCAGGGAGCCCGATGCGGGGCTCGATCCCAGGACCCTGGGATCATGACCTGAGCCGAAGGCTTAACAACTGAACCACCCAGGCGCCCCGTCCCTGTGTGTGTTAATAAATTTCTTTTGAAATGGACACCCTTCTTTCAGCGCTGCCATCAGCAAGCGAGACTGAGCTGCTTGAAGTTTGGGGTTCTCTGTGAGCCCAGAACCTGGAGGGAGAATTGCTTATGTCAAGTGCTGTGGGGATGGGATGACAGAACACTCAGCTCCTAACAGAGATGAACTTCAGGCCATCGGTATGCTGAAAAGTTGTTTAGCCTCTCAATCGGTGGGAGCATAACATGCTTTCTGTCCCATCCGAGGAATGTGAAGGAAAGGCCTGGGTTGGGAAGAGCTGGGACCAGTAATTGCACTGCAGTGTGCTTGAGTATCTGTGGGAGCATGAGGAGGGATTCAGCCCTCATGGAGGGGACTGGGAAGCTCTTCAGAGCAAATGACTTGCCCTTGAATATGGAGTACAACCTCTGAGAGTAGACACCAGGGGAGCACCAGAAGCTCAGGGAACCACGTGAGCTGCAGCCCTGGGGATACTGTGGGGGGCACTGTGGGAGCCAGGTGAGAGGGGCAAGCAGAGGAGAGAGGCTTCATCAGGGAGTTAATGCATCTGCATCAGCCTATGTAAGGGATGCTCAAAGCCATAGGACAGGCAGGGTGCAATTTCCAGAGTCACTAAATGGGATTTGATCAGAGCAAACACATGTTCATGATGACAGGCCGAGATACATGTCTTGGATGAATGTGTACTTTTGTCATAAAGTACTTGGGCACAAAGAAAGTCCTTTGCAGAGGCTGTTTCTGTCTGTGGAATCCTTGTCCGTGCTCCTGCCCTTATGAAGTCTTGAGCAGGAACAGAAGTGCTGGGAGCCCTTGAGACCCAGGAGGAGGGGAGTGTCCGTGGTCACATCTGTAGCGTGGGAGGCTTACACTGCTTATGGTCTGTGCATCGGTGGGAGCTTGGGTGAAGGCAAGAATATGGGGGCTGGTGCAGATGGGGGTTGAGGGCCTGACCTCAAGCAGGGGAGTAGGGAGACCCACTAGGCTTTCCTGGGGTCAAGACTTGGTTTCTCTCTGTGTCAGTCAACCCAACTAAGTTAAACTGTGCTAACAGTTCACCCAAAGTCTTTGTGGCTTACAGCCCACAAGGTTTCTCCTTCCTGTTGATGTACATTGCAGGTTAGTTACTCCATGTTGTCTTAATTGGAGGAGCTGGTTGAAGAAGCACCCCCTCTTTGAGATATTATGGACCTTGATTGAGGAAACTTTTATAAGTTGCTTCACTGATTTAAAAACAGATGTGTTGGGACTGAAAAACTTGCCATACCTCTGTGTGTGTGTGTGTGTGTGTGTGTGTGTGTGTGTAGATGTCTACAGTGTATGCATAGGTTTCCCCCCCCCTTTTTTTTTAAGATTTTATTTATTTATTTGACAAGAGAGAGACACAGCGAGAGAGGGAACACAAGCAGGGAGAGTGGGAGAGGGAGAAGCAGGCTTCCCACGGAGCAGGGAGCCCGATGGAGGGCTTGATGCGGGGCTTGATGTGGGGCTCGATCCCAGGACCCTGGGATCATGACCTGAGCCGAAGGCAGACGCTTAACGACTGAGCCACCCAGGTGCCCCAAAGCCTAACTTTTTTTTTTTTTGAGAGAGAACTTGTGTGCTTGTGGTGGGGGAAGGGGCAGAGGAAGTTGGAGAGAGAGAGTCTTTTTTTCTTAAAGATTTTATTTATTTATTTGACAAGAGAGAGACACAGCGAGAGAGGGAACACAAGCAGGGGGAGTGGGAGAGGGAGAAGCAGGCTTCCCACGGAGCAGGGAGCCTGATGCGGGGCTCGATCCCAGGACCCCGGGATCATGACCTGAGCCGACTGTCACTTAACCAACTGAGCCACCCAGGCGCCCCTAGGTTTTCCCCTTGATTAACTGACCATAGATTATATTCCTCCATTAGGGTGAATTTCATCCCTTCATTATCCCAGGGCTTGATGCTAAGCCTCCTTCATGGTCAGAGCCTTAAAGTCTTCTGAATCATTTTGGACCCTTGGTTCTAATGCAGAGCACTGTGGTGACAAGGGGATGGTCTTCACTCATGCTTGTGATGCAGTGTAATGGAGAGGCATGCAGGGCTTTGTGTGGATTTCCTATTTTAATTTATAAATTTTTCCCCTACTTGGATTATGTGTCTGTGGAATTGAAACAACTTCCAAGTCAGCTAGAAAATTTGAATTGCTGGGGCGCCCGGGTGGCTCAGTCGGTTAAGCAGCTGCCTTCGGCTCAGGTCATGATCCCGGGGTCCTGGGATCGAGTCCCACGTCCGGCTCCCTGCTCAGCGGAGAGCCTGCTTCTCCCTCTCCCTCTGCCTGCCACTCTGCCTACTTGTGCTCTCTATCTATCTGTCAAATAAATAAATAAAATCTTAAAAAAAAAAAAAAGAAAATTTGAATTGCCTTCTGTCAGCAGCTCTGAACTCATTTGTCATGGATGAACCCGTCGTGCCCAAATTCCCCTTGCTGTGAAGTCTGAAATTCTGTGCTCTTTTCCAGAAGGCTTGGGAAATTCTTCAGCGGTCACTTGGGTCAGTTGGCTTGTGAGGCCTGAGTCTTCACTCCTGTTTTGTTGCAATACAATACAAAACAATACTTTTGTTTCTTCTGAAAGCAGGCGAGTATCCAATATCCACATAGCTCACTAGGCCACTTTTTGAGTGTCTGCTTCCACGTTGCCTTATGCTTTCTCTTTAAAACAGCACTGCCATCCCCGGGGCTCTCTATGCCCTTTTATCTTCTCACTACCTGACATGTGGTTATTAATTTGTGTATTGTCTGAGCTCTCCATGTGGAACGTCAGCCCCTCGGGGGCAGGAATTTTGTTTACCCACTAAATTCCCAGCCCTGAGATGAATGCTTGGCTGCCACATGGTTGGTGCTTAATACTCATTGAATGAATTAGTATCAATTCAGTATGTAAATTAAATTTGATTGTGAGGCGCCTGGGTGGTTGGTTTGGTTGAGCGTCTGACACTTGGTCTCAGCTCAGGTCATGAGATTGAGCCCTGTGTCTGCTTGACACACAGAGCCCTTGGCTCTGCTTGAGATTCTCTCCCTTTCCCTCTCTCTCAAAAATAAATAAGTCTTAAAAAAAATTTAATTGTGTCTGCTGACCAGTGCAGATAACTCAAACTGAGGTTTCTAGGCCAGAAACTTTGATGTCCTTGATTTCTCCCTCTTTCTCAGCAACCCCTTCCTTCTTCCTCACTGTCACTGAAGCATATTGAATCTAGGACCAGAATGTACCTTGGATTCATCTGCCCCCTCCCACTGCCCTAGGCCACTAGTGCAATGCTCTGGCTTCGTGCCAGCCCTGGTCCTGGTTTTGCTGGGACGCCTGGCTGGCTCAGTCAGGTTCAGTCCGCCTTCAGCTCAGGTCGTGGTCCCAGGGTCCTGAGATCAGGTCCCACATCAGGCTCCTTGCTCAGTGGGGAGCCTGCTTCTCCCTCTGCCTGCCGCTCCCCCCTGCTTGTGCTCTCTCTCTGACAAATAAAGTCTGTAAAAAAGAGCGAGCACGAGTGGGGTGGAGGGGCGAGAGAGAGGGACAGGCAGACTCCCCGGTGAGCGGTGAGAGTAGAGCTCTGACGGGCTCGGCAGAGGGCCGCGCGGCCTGCGGGCCTCGGTGGGTCCAGTGCGGGGTGGCGCTCCCTCGGTGCGGAGCCACCCCAGAAGCAGGGACCGGGCCTCCGCCGGCCCCGGGCACAGGGGGCAGTCAGCAGGCGGCCTGTCCTACCCACTGACCATGTCCTGTCCCTCTCCGGCTCCCCACCGGGCAGGAGTAGGAAGGGAGGAGGCAGGGGACTCGTTGTGTTGGAGGTGGGGGCGCTGAGGGGGTCAGGAAATAATCCATGTCCATCAGACTGGGAGCATCTCACAAGCATTTTACTGATCACAGGGGCGGCCACAGGCCGGCAGGAGGCGAGGACGCACAGGACTCTGGTCTGGAAGCCAGGGGCTGCTCCGCCTCGGGGTTGGCCGGGCGTCAGGGGAGCCCCGCCCGCTCAAAGAACTTGTGGCAGGCGGCCGTGAGCATGGCCACAAACACGATGAACTCGTTGAAGTCCACCTCGGCGTCGCCGTTGGCGTCCAGGTCTTTAAGCAGTTTGTCCACGGCGTCCCTGTCCCTTTTAGTCTGGAGACAGAGGCCCGGGGTTAGCACTGCTGCGGGGGGGGGGGGGGGGGGGGGGGGGGGGGGGCGCCGGGGGCGGGGCAGGGGAGGTCACCGGGCTCCGGGGCAGCTACCCCCGGAGCCACAGTTGGGTTTAGGGCCAATCGGAATCGCGTGGTGCAGCTCAGGAGGCAGCACGTCCCACTGGCAAGTTTGGAAGGGGGTGTCTTCGAACTGTTTAAGATGCTTTAGAAGGGGGACCACCCCCAGGCCGCGCCGCCAGCTTGGCGGGGTCCCCTCAGGAGATCGCATTTGGGCCATGCACTGCACACCCCTCCCCTTCCCTCCCCTCCCCTCCCCTCCCCTCCCCTTCCCTCCCCTCCCCTCGGCCTCGGTCTCGGTCTGATCCGTGAGGAAAGGGGAAAGGGGAAATCCGGGACGGCGGCCTGGCGGGGGGCGGGGCTGGACAGGGGTGCCAGGGCCTCACCTCGCACCACCCCCTGCAGGGGTGTCCTTGCGCCCAGTACCCCGCAGCCACCCACACTGGGGCTCGAAGTTTGTAGCCAACAGCCCCCCAGGACCGCAGCCCCCACTGCACCGGGCGCTGGGCTTTTCCACGTCCGCTGGAGGCCTGGGGGACTGCGGCCCGAGCCCCACCTTTTTTTTTTTTTTTTTAAGATTTTACTTATTTATTTGAGAGAGAGAAATGAGAGATAGAGAGCACGAGAGGGAAGAGGGTCAGAGGGAGAAGCAGACTCCTTGCCGAGCAGGGAGCCCGAAGCGGGACTCGATCCTGGGACTCCAGGACCATGACCCGAGCCGAAGGCAGTCGGCTTAACCAACTGAGCCTCCCAGGCGCCCCTGAGCCCCACCTTTTACCAAGTGCTTCGGTGAGGATCCCAGGCTTAGCCACTGGTTCTCAAGTTGTGTTCCCCGGACCACCTGGCGCTGCCCCCTCCGGCAGCAACCCCTAACCTTGGGCTCAAAATCCCCCTGGGTTAGGCTCAAACTTGGCTGGTTGTCAGAACACCTGCACCCACGCCCAATTCCCCACTGGTCAGGGGCGTTCAGTGAGCATCAGGGTGTGAGACTGTTTGCTGTGATATTAAGTTAAAAAAGAAAGTAAATTGCATATTTAGAATTTCATGCACATCAGCTTTGAGCTTTGGGGAAAAGGCTGAAAGGAAGAGGGAGAATGTGTTGGGGGGATTTCTTGCCTCCACATTTCTGTATTTTTACATTTTCTACCACCAACACATTTATAAAAGACAAAAACAAAAGAACTTCATTTAAAGATCTATATGCTCACTGACTTTACATACTGAAGTGCTCAGTGTGTTTGAATTGACTGAAATTTTAGGCTTCCGTTTTCAAGAACCAGCTCAGGGTAGACCCATTAGAGGGCAGGTAGGTGGGGTTTGGTGGCGCCAGGAGGTGGGCCAGAGGGGGAGGGGAGGAGTGGGAAAGAAGGGGGGCTGGAGCTGAGGAGCTGAGCGGAAGAGAAGGGGAGGGAGGGGGAGAGAGGGAGGGAGGGGAGGAGGGAGAAGGGGAGGAGGGAGAAGGGGAGGGAGGAGGGAGAAGGGGAGGGAGGAGAGAAGGGGAGGAAAGGGGGGAAAGGGGGAGGGGAGGAGGGGAGGAGGGTGGAGGGGAGGAAAGGGGGGAGGGTGGAAGGGAGGGGGAGGAGGGGAGGAAGGGGGGAG